TGTGCCTTCTGGCCGTGTTAATATCACCTGGGTATTCACGGGCTCGCCTGTTTATCGTCTGTCCGTGACTGGCACTAGGGTGGGGCAGGGAAGGTGCTGAGGGCAGTTTCAGGGTCACACAACTGCTGGTCTTCTGTCTGTGCCCCCAAGATCATGTAAACCCATGGGTTGGGCACAGTGTCTGCATGTGTTCACATGTTAGTTCCAAGAATACGAAAGGTGCTCCGTTAATATCTAATTTGTTGAGCATTTGTTCTTCACGGTGTTTGCCAACTGTACATGGCAAAGAAAACATTCAGAAGTGTGGGGAATCTGAGTCCTCACAGCCCGGAGGAGCTGGGGGCGGGGGTGCTGGGCCAGGATGCCCGCGGGTGACGCCCTGTGAGGGACACCGAGGGAGACTCCCAGCTCACTGACATTGGGAGCAGAGCCTGCTCGTGGGAGCCTGAGGGCCTCCTGGATGAGCCTTCTGCTTCCTTTATTTATTCATTTAGATTCTGGCCTCCAGGCTTGGGAATGCTGAGCATTTGTGGAGGTGGCAAGACAGCTCCCCCAGGCCCTGGTCCCCTGGGAGATGAGAGAGTGGCTAGTAAGGAGGGAACTGAAGCCTAGAGGTCTCTTTGCCAAGTGCTATGAGCAAGATGTGAGCCCTGGAGGCTGTGTCTGTCCTGGCCACCCCCAGTCCCAGCACAGCACAGGCTGGGCACACAGAAGGTGCTTGAATAATTATATATGAACTGGCAGCAAGAAGCCTAAGGAATAGGAGCATTAACTTCAGAGAGAAGGGCAGGGTGAGTTGTTCCCTCATAAATGAGGGACATAATGGGAGATGGTCCACAATTAAAAATATATGAAAGAAATGTAGACACTTTCCTTTCAAATTCAGAAGCCTAGTCTAAGCTCCAGAATAGGTACTCTCATGTCAAAGGCAGTAATTTAATGAAAAAAAAAAAAATGGAATGCTAGCTAGCCAAATACCCTGGGCAGGAGTACAGAAGTACCTCTACAGCACTCCCGCGTTCACTGCCCTGCATCGCTCTGTGAATCCCCAGCTGATGCGGTATTGGGGAATACGGTTTCCCTCAGTGTGAGTCAATGCACTGAGTTATGTGGCCAGGAGGACTCTAGGAACCAGTGATTCATGGTCACCAAGGAGTGACGCATCTGAGGAGGTTTCCCAAGAAGTGACAGAGGAAATCTCTTTCATCCTCCACACCTGGAAAGGCCTCTGAAGACAGAGCTCTTTCTCTCTTTCCCTTTGACTGGGTAGCAGATTCACACCAGCTTTACAGCCCACACAGGGTCGGGGATCACTTTCTGAAAACAAGTTGCCCACTTCCTACAGTAGAGACAGAAGCTGCTGGGGCGGGGTGGGGATGAGTAAGGATGAAAGGAAGGGGGTGGTGTGGGACCCCCCATCCCCCTTTGAACGTGGCCCTGTTGGGCTCCACAGTGGCAGGCTGCTGCCCAGAACTCTCCACTCTCAGTGGGAGGAAGGGTGGGGAGGAAACCAGTCCAGCTCCCAGACCTTCCTGTCTATAGTCATTCAAGGCCCAGGGCAAGGCTGAGAGGGGGATGTTACTGGTGCTCCCATTTCAAAGGAGAGAACTGAGGCTCACAGGGGTTGCTCGCTTGCCCAAGGTCCCACAGTTAGAAGAGTGAGGCCGGGCTTCCGGCCACCTCAGCATGCATCACGATGATTTCCATGGGACAAGTTTTGAAAAAACTTGGGGATCATAATTTATGAACAGATCTCTCAATATTTAAGCTGATTTCATTTTTTTTAATAGTACAGTGACCAGAACCTCTTTTAAAGAGCCGTTTCAGGCTCACTTGGCAGCACGTATATTAAAATTAGAATGATACAGAGAAGATTAGCACGGCCCCTGCGCAAGGATGACACGCAAATTCGTGAAGTGTTCCATATCTAAAATTAAAATAAAATATAATAAAATAAAATCTGCTGTTTCTTTTTTTCAAACTTTTGTTTTTTTCCCCAATTGCAACTGTATGAATTGTAAAAATTCATACAACACGGAAATGAACAACTCAGAAATGGAAATTCCCCAGAGAAACTGCCATTAATACTCAGGGTATATTTTTTTAGACCTTCTTTTATACATATACAAACAAATATCTCCACAGACCTTATTATACTTTTAGAGGAAAAAAACCAAATTTGCATAATATTTAAGATTCAATTTTTTTATTCTATATCTAATGTATTATATATTTTACAAGATTGCAATTTTCTGTTTTTAAAAGTGCAGGTAGAAAAAATATGGAAGAGCAAGAAACTTTTAAACACTGATTTTATGCATTTCTCTAAAGTCCTGTACTGGAATTTTAAAATACCTCTTTACTAAAGTACAATCTGTATCTACGTTCATAGGTATACTTGAAAGTCGACCTATTGTGAATGTACAACTCAATGACTTTTCGACTTTTCACAAACCGAGAACACTCTATGACCAGCTCCCGGAGGGAGAAGGAGAATGAGCCAACGCCCAAACCTAGTGCTCCCTTGTAATAATCACCCTGCACTAAGGATAACCATATCCTGACTTCTAATGTACATTTCTCTTACCCATGTTTGTCTGTGCTTGAATTTAAGCATGTATTGGATTTAATATGAGAATAACCAATACAGATGTTGTTAGAATATATGCAGGTATAGAGGCCATCATTTGATGCCAGCATATATAAACCTGCTCATTAACAGTTTGCATATGGACTCTCCTGTAAGGCTCTATCACAATGACTCTAACTGGCTCTTTTTGATGGACATTTGAATTGTTTCCAATTGTTGGCTAATAAGACAAAGACAAGAAACAATCTGATGTATATTTCTTTGTGCATGTAACTTTAAGGTATGCCTGTTTTTTAAAAAAGATAAATGCTTACAGATGGAATCCATAGTCAAAAGATAGATTAAAAAAAGTTATTTTTTGATATTTTGCCATAATGGCTTTCTAGGAAGAAGTAACAGTTCAGTTTCTTCTTCAAAGCAAAAGCCAGGTGCGGGGTGCAGACCTCCTCACCGCAGCCCCCACTACTGGCAGCCAAGCTGGTTCCCTGGGCAGGCCAAGCCGAGCTGTCTTGCCTCAGCAGGTGCCTGTGGCACAGTAAACACCAAGGAGCACACCGCCCCCACCCCTGCCCCACGACCTTGCCCCTCCTCCACAAACTTGCAAAGAGCTAAACACATTCCCAGAGACAGTAGCAGGGAGACACTTAAATAGCAGAGCACAGCCTGTAGCGAGGTGATGACCCTTTCAGCCTATTCTTACTTCACTGTGGACCGGGTGTGTGTCTTGAAGGAGGGCCGTCTTGCCTGGGCCTTAATCTCTTGTCATTTACATCAGATATCTCTGAGCAAGGAGCCTGCCTTAAAATTGAACCCTGGATGAGTCTGGTCCAGGTGACCCTGGCCCTCTCCCCCTCCGCTCAGCCTGGGGAGGCAGCCCGTCCTGTTGCCCTTGAAGCTGGCGGGCAGACAGCATTTGCTTCCCTTGAGCACATCCAGCATCTATGCCCTTCAACTCCCACCCATCACACCTGGCCCTGCTATGCCCTCCAACCCCACGGGCAGCAAGCATCTCAGATGACAGAGATGGTCACACTGTCCTTTGTTCACATTCTGTGGCTGCCAGAGGCCTCTGAACAGAACCTGGTTGCCAATACCCTTCTTAAATCATATCTCCCGGTCCAGAGCCGGCTGGAAAAGCAGGTGGGACTCTCTTCTCTTTGACCTGGGCATGGTGCTTCTGTAAATGCAGGCCAAGGTTGCATTCTTTTTTGCTCAATAGCTCTTGTCCTGCTAAAACCCAGGGCAGGGAGCTCAGATAGGATCCCTGGACCTTTTCAAAGGGCATGAGGTCTTCATCTTGACCCTTCTCTCCATTTCAGCATTTTCTCCTTGCATTTTTCTTCTCTGACCATTGAAGCTGAGAGACAGCTAAAAAAAAAAAAATCAATGGACATGTGACAGAGATCTTGATCCCTCTCACCTTTCCCTTCATGCAAGGTCACTGGCTTTGAGGCCCGGAGTCTCTGGATTTCCAGCCACAACACAAGTGAGCAGGTGCTAGTGACTGCAGCTTGGGAGTGGGCCAGAGGACCTCAGCGCATGAGGTACCTGCTGCTTACCAGCCCCTCAGCCCTTCTCTACACCTACAGCATGGACTACGATGTGCTGTGGGGACAAATGAGGACTTGCTGTGGGGACAAATGAGGACATCCTGTTTTATCCTTATTTCTTTTCAACTAAGCATCGACATCTTTGCCGCATAGATGGGCTTTTGTGCTTTTACATCACATGAGCCATTTGATTTTTAACTCAGGACTTTATTTTTACAACCAAGACATTTTTATAAAAAGGGAACAGAAAGTGAAAGAAGTATATAAGCCATGAGAAGGCAGGCGGGAAGGCCGAGAAGTTCCCACTGGGAGATGAAGTGATCTCCTGCACCCAAACCTGCAAGTTCCCAGCCCCAGAGGAGGCCCTCAGAGACTGACCCGACCGTGAGGGCTGGGTCAGCCCCTCCTGGAGGCTTCCTTTCCAAGCTGGGTCTGGTCGCTGGGATTCTCTGTGAGGACAGTCAGCCCCAGCCTCACAAGAACAAGGGGAAGCCACTTCAGCTCTATCCCATGACGCCTGTCTCAATGGCAGTGCCCTACCAGGGCAAAACGACTTTCAGAGGGTGGCTGGACAGCCAGTCTCAAAGGTCACAAGCCCAGCCCAGGGCAAGTACAGGAGCAAGAAGCGGTACCATGGGTGGCGTTTCTCAGTCAGTCCTCCAGTGTGCCCCAGTTGCAGGAAGTGCCCGGGGCTCTGAAGCCTTCTCTCTAAGACTCCAGATGACCAGCTAACAAGTTGCTCCCATGCACAAGGCTCACAGAAAGAACTTGCAGAGTTAAAGCAGGCAGCTTCAGCAGGTCAGTGAAATTTTCACTCAGTGTGTCCCTTCTTCATTTTTCCAGATCTTGCTCATTACTGACCGTGTTTTTGTAGTGGGACACCAAAAGCATATTCTCTGCTCATTTATAAAACCTAAAAACAACGGCAGGTTGTGAAAACACTTATTTTCAGACAAATGTTACTGGATTTCCTGTAGCAGACAAATGGCAAATGAGGATACAGGGCTTCACTCCAAGTTAGTAGCCTGGGCCAGGAGTTTTGTGTTAGTATGTTTTTAGGGCCCATCTTAGTTGTTAAACAAACTTTTAAAGCAAAACAAAAAAGCAGCCCAAAAGGCTCTAGCTTTGAACAGTGTTACTTCCTGCAGTACTTTCTAAGATAAGCTATTCACAAATTCACACCAAAGGGCCCGAAGATGGGGACCTGCTGAGAGGACGACTTTCTAAGGCCAGTTTGAGAACATCTGCTCCACAAACGCAACTTGACTTTGGAATAGCTTATCTGTGATGCTCACGGATTATTTTATCCACACCTGGATTATGATAGCAACACCAGAGGTGGTTTTCAAACTCTTTTAACCACAAACCCTTTTGTTCGAATGATGTCTCACAGGTAAGTGTAACCACAGGCAAAGATGAGAGCAGAGCTGTGAGCAGAAGGTGAGGGGTGCTCAGGGCCTCACCCATGGCCGCCCTCAGCTCCTCCTCTGCCTTAGCTGACCCTCAGAGCCCTTGGGTTTGCCAAAGTATAAGGCCCTGCATCCAGCTCCCCACGAGTCAGTGTCCAGTCACTGGGGAACAAGTTAAAATGAGAGGCTGAGAGGGGGCAGAAGCACAGGCGGTTCACCGAGGGGGGTGCTTTCTCTATAAAAGAACATTCTGGAGGCCTAGGTTTAGACAAATACACTCCCGCTGCTGTCTGTTAGGTAGGGGTTAGTTTCTAAACACAGCACGTAAGTTGAAAATTGTACACAATCAAAATTATCATTGAAAATTGCCTATAAAATACAGCAGGCATGTTTAAGCAACTATGTATACAAAATATGATATACATAATAATATGGAGCATATAACATGGAGAGCTCATATGAAAATTATAATCTTAGAGTATTTAAAAATACATTTTGTTTTTTGGTTGTTGGGCTCGTAGAGTTGTCTTTTCTAAGTGACATGAGCTTGTGCTGCAGTAGCCATGAGGTTGGTACTGTTATTCCATTTTGCAGACGCAGAATCAGAGGTTCAGGGAAGCAACTCGCCTACAGTCACATGGTGGGTGAGGGGCAGACAAGATTCAAAGCCAGATCTGCCTCCGGATGGGGCCAGGGCTCTTGAGCACGAGGCCCTGCTGCCCTCTTCAATCTAGAGGCATGGGCTTTCTTTATTTTCAAACAACTTTCTGCGGAGAGGGTTGTAATTAATGAGATGGGTAGATGTGAAACATTTTCTATTTTGTGGAAGAAAAAACAATCCGAGAACGCTGCCCATGGCCCAAGCGCGGTCCAGAAGTCCTTGAGGCTTTGAGCAACTGACAGCCTCGGGCCTGCCTGTCTCTTGGCTTCTGCCTGTGCTTACACAGTTCAGTGAGACCAACGGATGAGGTCTTTTTAGCCCTGTGTCTATGGGAGTCAGCTGGTGCGTTTGCTAACTCCTGGGAGCCAGGTGGGGTCCAGGGTAGAAGATAAGATCAAGCAGCACAACATCCAACACCAGCAGGGAGGACAACGGCCCTGGAGGGACCCACTTGCTCTTGCTTTTACCCAATTCTGCTCTTTCGTACCCCAAATGCTTTGAGCAAGTCTCTCAACTGCTCTGTAAAAATAACCCTCTTATGTCATGCAGGACAAAGTCAAATGAAACAATAGGTAAGAGTAGGTCTGGGTCTGGGATCTCCCACCCTGCTCCATGCGTGCAAAAGCTGCTTGTTACCTCCAGGGCGGCTGAGGGCTGAATCTCCCGTGCTTGAAATACATCTTGTTTGTTTAGGTGATCTCTTTTCCTGAGCTCTATCACCCCACGGACTTATAGAGTCTATGACTTTTTTGAAGGTGGTGTCTGGCTTTGGCTCCTTGCCAATGGAGGCGGTGAGCACAGCAGGGGCTGCGGAAGCCAGGACCGCGCCCAGGGCGGCGGCGTGGGCACTTTTCCAAGGCCCCAAGCACTTACTTTTTCATGAAGCGAAGCCGGGCTCTCCTCCGCAGGCCTAAAAGAAGAAACCAAGAGCATAAGTCCGCATGGACTGTGGGCTGCCGGCCCCAGGCCCCAGGGAACAAGGAGTGTGATGCGAGGGACAGCTGGCACCTCAGACCACTCCTCTGGTGCCAGGCTCTGCTTCAGTTTCAGTTTCATGAACTCCCTTAATGCTCGCAGCAAACCTAGGTGTCAGATACTACTCTTATTATCTCCATTTTGTATATGAGGAAACTTAAGGCCTGGGGCAAGTGTATTACTGAGTAACTCACCTGAAGTTACACAGCTGATAAGTGGTAAAACCACAGCTCAGACCCAACTAATCACCTCCAGCCTGTGTGTCCTTAAACAGGCTGTTCTGTCCTTCACGGCACAGAGGTGGTAGAGACAGGTGGTCTTGAACCTGTGTATTTGGGAGGTGCGCAAGGTTTCCCATTGGGATAAAGGAAGGAAATATGAACATGGCTACCTATGAGTTTATCTTATTTTTTATTACTTTTTATTTTTAAAGCATGTTAAATGTGCTTCATGCATAATATACTTAATCACATTTGCAGATCACTGAACTTGTGCAAAATTCTTAGAACAGGGTAAATGGACATCCTTTGGTGGGTGGCAACTGTATGCATAAATGTGCCCATGACACATTTATCTAGGGAGAGAGTCCATAAGTGTCATCACATGTTCAAAGGAGACCTATAAAAGAGCCACTGATCTAGTCCATACTCCGGCAGGCCACCCCCTCCCATTTTATTGAAGCCCAGAAAGGGTAAGCAAATAACTCGAGGTGGCACAGGTGAGCCTGGGGCTCTGGGCTCTCCAGCAGCTGTGGGAGTCTGACCTGCAGCTGGGGTGGGGTGGGGGCGGGGCGGCGGGCAGCGCCTAAGAGATGATTCTATCTCCAGCTAGCTGAGAGCAGCAGCCATCTCTGTTTCCTTACAGCCTCACAGAGAGGGAGCATTTCTAGCTTCTGCGAATGTAACCCAGACCCCACATCAATCTCTTCTATGTACTGTTTTCCTGCTGACTGCCTACAGACGTTCCTCCTTGCTAAGTCCGACCCCAGCTGGGCACTTTTGGCAGGACTTCACAAACAGCAACCCTGGGAGGTAGGTACTATTGCCCCCTGCTTGCCCCTGTGAGGCTCAGAGAGGCCAGGGCACATACTCAAGGCTGCTAAACACGGAGTAGCAGGTTTAGGTTCAAACCCAGGTTTGTCTGACCCCAGCGACGGGGTGTTCCCTGATCCCTGCAGCGCGTGCCCTCAGGCCAAGGATCACCTCTGCAACCACCTCGGGTTCTCAGGCTCACAACTGCCTTGCTCCCCTAGAGAAGGAAAGACCCTCAGGGACACCCCCACCCACAAGAAAGGGGTGGCTATGATGGCCCGAGAGGGGACAACTTACAGTATAGGTGAATGGCCACACCCAAGGACACCAGCAGAATCATGACACCAGTCACCAGCAGGCCAAGGGTCAAGGAGCCACATGGTATGCCTGGAAGACACACATACGAGACATTTGAAACACACAGATCAGTACAAAGAGAGAAAAATCAACTAAAAACCCACCTCCCAGAGAATACCACTGTTTGCACATCTTCTTCCAGTCTTTTTTTCTAGGCACTTTAAACACATTGAGATAATTTTATATGTAAAATTTCATGCCCCACATCCAAATTAAAACTCAAGACCTATTTATGTTCAAGGTGAATAGACCATTTTAATGACTGGTAATGAGGTTGTTGCCATTTATTTAAAAAAATTTAATTTCATAGGAAATAGCTGAATATATTTTCACTGTAAAAGATTCAAGTATATGAGTGCCCCTTGACATCCTCACTCCTTCACAGCAATAAATGCCATTGTTGATTTGGTACCTTTCTCTTTGCATTTTCATATATTCAATACACAGCTTACATAGAACATGTAGTCTTTTAAAAACTAGAGTGAATTATATCGTACAAATTATTCTGCAATCATTGTTTTCTTAAACATTTTTTTCTAGCAGAGTAACATTTGAATATGGATGTACCATGGATTATTTTGCCATCAGTGGGCATTCTGTTTTTTTCTTGTGTTTTGCAATTGACTGCAGAGAACAGCCTGGTATGTTTCTTCTTACGCAGGAGCCTGCCTGACACCGATACTGAAAACAGGACCTAATAAACCTCCATTTTAAGTTGTAATAGATACTGTCGAATGCCTTCCAAACAGGCTACACTGATTTCCATTCCCAGCTACCAACTCTGCACCCTGCTGACACTTGATATGATCAAAGGTTTTGGTTTTTTGTTAGTCAAAAAATATTTTGACTTCAATTTCCTGATTATTTGTCAGCTTCAGCAATTTTCATATATTGGCCACTTCTTTTTTCCTATGAGTTGCCTATTTGTTCCTTTGCCCATTTTCTATGTTACTTAAACAGTAGAGAGTATATCATCAATGCACCAAATCCTTCTCTGATACACTTCATGCCTCTATGGTTGGTCCCTGTGAGTAGCTGAGGAGCAGAACCAGGATTCACAGGTGAAAAGGGCAAGGGATCATGGGTGAAAAAAAATTAGAGTTTAGATTTGAATTTTTACTGAATACCTATTATGTGCCAAGAATAATACTAACTGCAAAGTTCCATCTTGTGAGGAAGGAGGGTATTACTATCCTTTTTCTCTCTCATTTTACAGTTCAGAAAAACTGTAAGGGAGGGCCAGGGTATAAATCTAGATCCTCCAAGTTCTGAAGCCCCTGCTGGACCCACCACGACAGCCTGAGGGCATGAGAAGAAGGGAGGAAATGGAGTGCGCCCCTCCAAGGGAGGCAGGCTGCCCTCGCCGAGGCTGGGTGCTGCGGTGTGAGGGGAGAGCCCTGCACCAGGTGGGAGGCTGTGTGGAGGTCCTAGAAAGTCCTTCCTACCTCTGAAGCGCAAGGGATCCTGTCTGCCTCTCTCTCACCCCCTCCATATTCTCTCAAAAATGTGATGCTAAGTGAAAGAGCCAGGCATGAAAGTCCACATATGGTATGACTCCATGCATATGAAATGTCCAGAAGAAGCAAATCTATAGACAGAAAATCTATAGAGAGAGAAAGTCTAAAGTAGGGGCTGGTAACAGAACAGAACAGGCTGGTGGGAACAGAAACTAGTCATAAACAAGTACAAAGGATCTTTTGGGGCTGATGGAATGTTCTAAAACTAGATTGTAGTGATGTATGCATAACTTGGTAAATGTACTAAAAAATCAGTTGTATGCAGCTATATGCTTAAAATGGGTGAATTTTATGACATGCAAATTATACCTCAATAAAGTGGTAATTTTTAAAAAAAGTAACAGGCAGGTGAAGGTTGCTGGGTCGTGCAGAGCAGAGTCTTTCTGAGGAGGGTGGGTCAGGGGAGGGTTCCTGCAGGGTGGTCATGGCTCAGCTGGAGGCCAGCAATGCAGCTGCAGGTCCACAGTGTAGCATAATCATCTACACAAAATGTGACTCCAGGAAAAGCTGTTGCTGCTAGTAGAGGTGGCGAAAAGCCAGCTTGGGCAGGGAGCCGGTGGCCAGAACCATGTCCGTGACATGCGGCTTGGCTTCCTTTTCCTCACTGGGGTCTCCTGAGGTCTGAATTGTACTACATTTCTCCTGAGACAGTGGTTTAGAGACTGCCCCCCAGGACCTCAAGTGTCTCTCCAAGGATATCCCTGAGCCTTGGGGAGAAGGTGCCTGCCCATGGTGGCCGTGAGGGTTTTATTCATGATCATAGGCTTCAGCTCCATCTAGGTGCCCTGCCAAGCTGAATGCCTTGTGTATGGCATCTCATCTAATCCTCCTTCCCTTTATCCAGGTAAACATCCCCATTTTACAGATGAGGAAACTGAGGCTCAGACAGGCTGCATCACTTGCCTAAAGTCACACAGTATCAGCAGTGGTAGACAGAGATTAAAACTGACTTACCACTAGGTTACACTGTCCTATGGCCCCCACCCCAAACGCAGCCACTACCTACCACCCTCTCCACTCCACTTGGCCGCTTGTTTGTTCTAAAGAACCTACTAATGTTGGATTTGCATTTTGCTCCAGGATTTCATTGAAAATTAATATTAGAAATGATGCAAGAAATTTGAAGACTTTGCATCCATCATTTATAGAAGTGTTACTGAATTCACTGTCATTCAGCAGTCCTTACCTAAGGATGAACAGAGCAGATTCCTTCTAGAATTTCTGATGCCCGTGGTTGTATTTTCTATCACTGTAGTCGCTGTGCCAGGTTGTTTGGAGCCTTGCCTTTGTTTTAGCCTTATTTGCTGGCTCCTTCAGGGTCACAGCACAGAGCCCGTGTTTGTGTCCCTATCTTTATGGCCCTATTATATTTTCCCTTTCTGTCCTTTTGTGTTGTACCCTGCTTGAAATCCTTCAGGCGAAGTTTTGGGGCATAAACTTTGTAATATGAGGTCACTCTGTCTCCCCCTTGTGTTCCCTAAGACGTTGCCCTTTGTACATGGATTCTGATGTTCTTTTTACTGTGACCTAACAGGCAGCTTCCCGCTCCCATTCTCTAGACTCTGCTTGGGATTTTATGTGTATATAAGACAAAGCAACCCCAGTGGCACGAGGCAGCCTGGTGTGGTTGCTTGTGGTTTGTTCTTTAGGCTGGAGCAGATGATACTTTCTGTTTGTCATGACCAACTTTTGGGGAACAGAGGTCAGTATTTTTCTAGAAACGCTTTTGGCTTATGGGTTCAAGAGGAGTGCGTGCCTGTGTGTGTGTGCTCCAGCTGTGGCGTCCGGTACCTATGGGACAGAGCGGCGAGTCTGTTCACTCATTAACAGACATATATTAAGCACACTCTGTGTGTTAAGTCTTCTGTTAGGCATCAAAAATGGGAGAGTTTAAAGTTCTGGTCCTTTGGATTGGGTTTTTTTGTTTGTTGGTTAACACCTTTATCGAGATATAATTTACATATTGTAAAGTTCACCTGTTTCAAGTGTATAATTTCATGCTTTTTGGAAATTCATAGAAATGTGCAACCATCACCACAATATAATTTTAGAACAGTTTTATTCCTCCCAAGGGAATCCTGTACCTATTGGCAGTCACTCTCTACTCTTCCCTCAACGGCCCCGCCTTAGGCAACCACGCATCTACTTTTTGTCTCTATGGAATGTGATATTCTGGACTTTTCATGTCAATTATATCATATAATATATGGCCTTTTGTAACTAGATTCTTCCACTGCATAATATGTTTAACATTCATCCATCTTGCAGCAGGTATTAGTAATTAATTCTTGATTATGACCAAGTAACATTCCATTGCATGGATATTCCACGTTTTGTTAGTTCATTTGAGTTGTTTCTACTTTTGGACTATTATGAATAATGATGCTAGAAAAATTTGTGTGACAGTTTTGGATGGACATATCTTTCATTAAGTTTTGTCCTGTGACGACTGGTGAGGGTGTCGCCCGCTAGACTGTGCCACTGAAGGACAGCACAGCTTCCCTCCTGACCCCAGCTCAGGGCCAGGAAAACAGGCTCAAGGGTGTACACTTGAGAAGAGCTTACAGAAGGAAGGGAGGGAGGGAGGGAGGGAGGGCCAGTGTCTGCCGCACTTCTGAGAGTCTAGGGAATGGGAAAACTCACCCTTCCGAGTCACTGGGAGTGGGGGCAATGGACACCTTCTCTTTTTAGGGGTAGTCTTCGTCATCTTGGTGGGCTGGGCAGTGGTGGGAAGGACATCAACTACAGAAAGCAAGCAAGACACATATCTTAGCCAGGTAAACAGCAGATAGACTTAGAGATAAAACTTAACACTGCATTTCTTACCTCCAGATACTAAAGTCCTTATAACCATTCCCTAGGCTGCTATGGAGCTTGAGGGTCAAAGAACAATAAAATCTTTGAACTGCTTCCCCAACACTCAGCTCTATCTGTGGGCCTAGGGACAGGGGTCAGTGATGTGTCCTGGAGAGAGGGGTCTGGAATTACATAGACCTGGAGAGAGCCCCAGCACCCCCGATTAATCAGTGTGTAACTTGGGGCAATTCCTGTCACTTTTCTGTGCCTCACTTTCCCCATCTGCTGAAATAAAAATGGTCTTCACCTCCTTCTTGGGGTTGATGTGAGAATTAAAGGGGACAGTGTGCCCAGCGAAGTGTACAGTAGACATGGCTCTGCCTGGCTGAAGCCATGGCTCCACTTGAGCCAAGGCAGAGCCCCCGAGCCCTGCCAGTCCTAAGTGAGTGGAGGACGCTCACGGGAAGGAGTCAGGGTGCCTTTCCTACATGTACCATGCATGCAGGCTGCCCTGGCCCAGTAGCTCAGTTGGTTAGAGTGTCAGCCCGAGAGGCCAAGGTTGTGGTTCGATCTCCAGTCAGGGCACATGCAAGAATCAACCAGTGAACGCATAAAGAAGTGGACTGACATAGCCATGTTTCTCTTTTTCTCTCTCCCTTCCTCTCTCTCTCAAATCAATAAAGAAACTTTAAAAGCCCCATGAAGGTTGTATATGTTAGGATTTTCTTTCCTTCTCCAGTGTCTTTAAACATCATATACAATCAGAGCCAGGGGGATCTTTAGTCTAATCTCAACCTTTAATTTCAAAGGTGAATGCCAGCGAAATTAAGGGGGAGAAGCTGGCCTCTGAGGCCCGCGTGGAAAGTACCGAGCTGGGACCCCAAACCCCTCTCCTGAACCCTGGGTGGGCCACTCCTCTGTTTTTGTTCTAATTCAGTGTCACACACTAAAACATTGGGATAAAACAGGGGATCAAGTGCACAGAGCAAAGGGAGGTGTCTGAGGCACTGAGGTGCGGAGGGATGGCGTGAGTTCTGGGTGCCACTGTATCTGACCTTTGTCTTTGGGGGTTGAGGAAAGACATTTTACTGAAATGATTTTCTATAAAATAATAAGAAAGGGAATAGGGTGAAACCATGAACTTAAACTCTATAGTCAAGGGGACAGGGAGAGGCAGCCAACAAATCGGTCACTTTGGGGCTGGCTTCTTCCATATCAAATATGGACATTTGGGACCTTCACTACCCTGTTCCCCTTCTGGAAAGTGGAGACTACATGGTCTGCTCTGCCCGCTCCACAAGTTTTGAGAAGAGCCAACTAGCCAGAATTAACACTCACTAAGTTTCTACCGTGTGCTAGTGGCAGTGCCGAGCACTTCGGATTGAGTTTATTGAGTGCAACAGCTTTTGGGATAGGCACTATTGTCCCCATTTCATCTCCGAGGAAGCCTAGGCACAGAGAGCTGATGTAACTTGTCCAGAGTGCAAGGCCTGAGTCAAAAGACTCCGCTTCTAGGCTCTCGCTGTGCCATGCTGCCGCAGGGGCAAATGCTTTTTCACAAAAAAGTGAAGCACATCAGATGCACCCCCAGCCCTGGGCATCAACGTGCTGGGGGAAACTAGAGTGAAAGGAAAGACACCACGGGCTCTCGTGCTCTGAGAGTGCGTGGGGAGTCTGGCCCTCGGCAAGGGGTCGCAGCACGTCGTTATCTCCTTCACCCTCAAAGCCCTAGCAGCACTCATTCCCCTTCCTTCATACCTGAGGAGGCCCCGGGGTCTCTCGGCGGGTCAGCGGTGAGCCTGCAGGGAGCCAGCCCTGTGGGACCTGAGTGCCTTGGCTGGGCACAGTATCCTGGGTCTGATGGAGGTTTGTGGACAGCCTCGTTCCATTTTAATTTCTTCTTGTCCAGAACCAGGTCCTCTTGATTCCTCCTGACACCGCCACCTGCCCCCCCAACTTCAAATCTTCCCCCTTCTCTGCTCTTTGAAAGGGACAGGCTCTTTGAATCCACGGTGTGCTTAAGGGGCCTGAACAAGGCTGTCTTTCCCGAATACTTTCTCTACCATCTAACTTCTTCCTTCAAAATGCACTGACTTCCTTACAAGGGTGGGCTCTGGTTCTGGATCCCCTCCCCTGGGGAAATGATATGGTTGCAAGCACCTGCTTTGGGAACGCACTGCCACTCTTGGGAGCTGGGCAGTGGGAGGGCTTTGGAAATGTGAAAACCAAGAGTGAGTGGGTAGAGGTGGGGGAGCTTCCGAAAACCAGTTGTGCTATTACACCATGCACCTTTCTCAGACCCTGAAATCTCATGAATGGAAAGATGTGGGACTGACAGAGACAAAAACAACAAATTAAACTAAAACCCACACTCCCCGACGCCAAAACCCAGTTTTCAATACAGGAATCAATGAACAAACCCCAAGGCAGCTCAGCTAAAGAAACCCCAAGGCGTGCTGCACATCTCGTGCTGAGTGGTCTAATTCCTCGGGAGCCCCTCGATGCTCTCAGTGCCCCCAGTGTGAGCAGAGCCCAGGTGAGGGGGGAGCAGGACAGTGAGAGGCTTGCAGGGGGCTGACCCTAGCCATGGGCTAACCTAGGAGGGGGCTAAAGTCAGACGTGGGCCTTTGAGGATTTCTGCCCCTGAGTCCTTTGCACCTTTGGTAGCTTTCATCCTCACTGTCCGACACAGCAGCCACTTGCCACACGTGTTACTAAGCACATGGAACACAGCCAATTTGACCTGAGATGTGCTCTTCCCATGAAACACACATGGAATGCTTCGTATGAAAGGAGGATATGAAATATTTCAGCAATTATTTTATCTTGATTACACTTTGAAATGATACTGTTGATAAATTGGGTTAAATAAAATGTATTATTTAAATGAATCTCCTGTGTTCCTTTTAACTTTTTTTTAACATAGCTACCAGAAAATTTTACATTACATCTGTGGCTCACAGTTTTATTCTACTGGATGTGCTGACTTAACTCATAAGGAACTGCAGCTTCTTAGGATTGAAGGTGGTTTTGGAGGCCATCAGCAACCCATGGCACAGATGAGAAAACCGAGGCCCAGCGAGGAGACCACCCCGCCCAAAAGCACACAGTAAATTTGCAACAGAATTTGCAGCTGGTCTTGGGGTCCAGCCTCCTCATTCCCTGAAACTCTGGGTATGGGTTTGAGCCACAGGCCCACATGCACAATGTGAGGCACCTGCTCCTCACTGGCTGCTCACTGTGCCCACAGAGGAGATTTCTGAGACCATCATCAGGCCTGGGAACTCAGCCCAATCCAGCCACAGTCTCAGGTGGTCCTGATGTGACTGAAGGACAACGCTGTTCTGTCCCCATAAGAAACATTTACAATGGGAATTGTAATGGTACCTACCTCTCAGGATGGTCAGCAGCATTAAGTGAGAGAACTACATAAAACAGTTGCATGTGCTTGGCCCTGGGTAAGTTCCAGAATATATTTTCTGTTACTATGAGCTATAGTGCTATTGCTCACGGCTGTCATCCCCTCCCGCGGAATTGTTGGGCTTGCTGAGAGTGGGGTGACCCCTAGACCTGGCACATGCATGGCACATTGTAGGTACTCAGTGCTATCAATAACATTGAATCAGAATCTTACCCACAGTCAGCTGAGTTCCCTTTCCGAAGGTCAGCTCAGGGGTCCCGACGGTCATGCAGAAGTAGACACCACTCTCTGCAGGTTTCACATTCCTGAGATGGAGGGTGGTCTGGGTTGACTCCCGAATCACAGTTAGCTTCTCCTGCCCCATGTTATCACCATACACAATCTGTTTTGTAGAATCCCAGACAGCTAGGAACTCGTAGTGACTGTCCATGCTTGGGGCCTGGAGCTGTCTCAGCCAGTAGATGCGCTGGTTAGCAAGGGAGGTTTTGACTTCACAGGATATATTCGCGAATTTGTTGGTCTGAACCGTTAGGGTCCTAGGACTCTGCTGATGTGTCAAGCTGCTGTGGAGAGCTACGAGAAGCAGAGGGAGCAGGGACCATCAGTACATTTCCCTGACCACCGCAATGGGGCCTCAGAGTCACCCTGAATCAAGTACCAAAGAAAAAGCCATGGAAGAACCTGCCCAGTTGCAGGCTCCAGAGGCTGTTGTAAATGCAGGTGGTGGTTCCTGGACTCGAGAGCTCCAGCACCACCCGCCTCCCCATCCCCCGCCCCCCGCCCCAGGAGATCATCTGCAAGGCAGATGTTTACTCTGCCCAGCTTTACAGAGGGAGGTGGGAAAAGCTGCCATTTGCTGACCACATGCTTATACACCTGGTTATTTGTATAATTATCTCAATCAAGACTCAATCTCATTTCAGGATTTTTATCTCCATTACACAGATGAGGAAACCGAGGCACAAAGTTACTTGTTCAAAATCCTACTTACAACTAGTAGGTGACCTGGGATTCAAACTCAAAGATTCAAAGTCTGAAGTCAAAGCCTTTCGCCCTGCCCTGCTGCAAATCTGTATAGACCTTCAACAGGCTCCCAGCAGCTGAAGGAGACCAAAGGCACGCTGGGAGAGGAGCTCAGAATCACAGGCAGAGCATAGGGCTGGGCTGGCCAACCTAAAAGAGGACTGGCCACAGTTTCTGGGCATGGATGACAACCAGCACTCGCTATCCCCTGGTAGGCACAATTAATGACCATCACTTACCAACCCAGCAACTGATAGATCACTGGATCCCCTTCCTGAGTGGAAGGACAGATACCCCAGAAGCAGGGCTGGGATTTCATTTTAGTCTCAGGCAAGAAGCACTGTAAGTAGGAGGCTGTTCATGGGAAAACTGGAGCAGAACTCACAGACGTGGCCTTGAACCTAGCCTCCACGCCACACCAGTGTGGAACCTAAGGCGAGTCGTGGAACCTGTCTCTTCTGTTTGAAAAGAGGATGGCTTAAAGCCATTGATCTGACTGCCTCTGAGGGCTGGAATGTCCAAGAAAGCAAACTGTAAAGCACCGTACATGGGCAAATCATTGTTCATGTGTCTCACATATCAGGGGTTGTTACTGGCAGCAAATGAAATCTTAAGGAGAAGGATTAGAATAGGTCTTTTGCTGTGAAGTCCAGCAAACCGCATCTGACTTAGCGAGCCTTTCATTTTAGCTGTCGTGGGGAGGGAGAGCGCAGGCCAGAGCAGAGACCCAGAAGCAGCGAGGCACAGACCTGGGTGAGCAGAAGAGACCAGAGAATGGGGGAATGTGTGTGTGTGTGTGTGTGTACCCAAGAGGAGCTGGCTTACTGAGGTGGTGGTCCATGTTCACAATCCTACCTACACTTGTTCTCAGGCTCCATAGCAGCCTTTTCTAATACTGATGAAATGAACTTAAACTTTTTGACTCCACTCACAGATCTTCCGCTTATATCAAGAATGAAATGGTAACTGGGGCCCAAGTGGCTGCTGGGCCTTCGCTTTTTTCCCCAAATAACATACTGCTTTTTCAGCAAAGTAGAGGTTTTTTATTGTTTTGGGTCACTGGTCTCTTGGGGGAGATAATAAGAATTGAAAATGCCGGTAGTTATTGAACCATGCCAAGCATAGTTCATGTATTATCTCATTTGATCCTCAAAATCCTGTTTCACATCCACTTTATAGGTGAGGCAATGGAGGCTCAGGAAGGTTAAAGACATGCTGAAGGTCGCACAGTCTGTCTGTGGTGGATTCAGAGTCAAATCCAGGTCTGTAACCCCCGAACCTGAGCTTCAAGGCACTCCCTGAATTGAGGGAACTTGTGGTTCCAGGAAGGTGGTCGTGGCTCGTGTGCATATATTGGGGCCACAAATACACAGATTCTCAAAGACCTTCTAAGAAAGCCCATAAGTGAGTCTTTGGTGGTAAAGAGGTCAGAAAGGGCACTTCCTTCATCATGACATGAAGACTTCCTGGCTGAGACACTCCTTGGTCTCTCTCTGCTGACCATTTGTTTTTCAGCCCCTGGGGACTAAACATACAGCCATGGCTGACCCCTGTCTATGTGCTGGACACCTAGCTGGGTCTTGTCATGCATGTGGTCTCCTTTGATTCATTTCATTCTCTCAGTAGGCTAAGCGACTCCATTCTCAGAGGGACCTGCTCTTTCTAAAATGTTTGGCAATAACGTTCAGCAGCTTTGAATGGCTGCCTGGATTAGCTTTTACTTCAGATGTTCTTGAGCTCCCTGGGTCAGAGACTGGGCTGGCAGGCCTCATCATGCCTGGCGGGATGTCCAGCTTGGGGCTTTTGGGCAAGAGAGCAAACCGACCCCAGGTTAGCCGGCATTTGGGGAGGTGGAGGGACTTCTAAAAGGTAGTCTGACTGGGCTGAGTCAGAGGAACAGTCTAGACTCCCACTCTGTTCCACTTGCTGTGATCCAACTCTAACACTGCTTGTTAGTGAAATTGCACTATACACCTAACCCCAGGGAAGGCTGGGCAAACAGGAAAACTCTGCCTGAGGGAATGACCAGCCATACTTGCCTGAGAACTGGCAACAACCTGGTATTTGGCAGACTGTGCTAGAAAACTGGCCCGGAAGTAATAAACGTATGTCTCCAGAACCCTAGGCCAAGTGTGGGACACCCAAACCAGGACTGGGCCTCTGGCACCTTCCTGGGAGCACATCCCTGCCTTGTCTCTGAGCGTGGGCATTTTCCCTCCCTCTCTGGACTTCCTCCCGCTTTTTCTCATCTTCCTTCCTATCTCCTTCCCTCCTTCCCCTCCTCTCTCCTATTTCCCTCCAGTCTTCCCTTCTCCCGTCTCCCAGGTCCAAGCTTTTGGGCAGAGGTGGCCGCAGTCTTGGGCTCCACAGACCCCTAGGATAATGAGCTCCCATTATCCTCTCCCCGCTCCGGGGCTGTGCCTGCCGCGCCGCCTGCCCCCGGGACTCTGGACTCTGCTCCCTACCGGGACAGCCTCCCCAAACTCCACCGCTCAGGCTCTCCTGGGGCCAGCGCAGACCACCCGCCCGGACCCCGGGCACCGCCAGTCCCTCAACGTTACCTGCCAGCTGCGCAGCAGCGAGGAGCAGCAGACAGAGCCACAGCCACATCTCGGCACATCGGCACCTGGTCCCAGCGGCCCCAGCAGAGACTGTCCTGAAGGGGCGCGGTGGGGGCTGGGGAGCGGACCGGGCGGGGCAGCGGAGAGGAGGAGATTGCAGAGAGCGGGGTGGGACCCGGAGAGAGAGCGGTGCGAGGTTGGCAAGGTCTCCACCCTCATCCACCCTGCATTTCAAAGATCTTGGCTCCGTTTTTAAAAAGCTCACTAGGACCCCCTGCTTTCAGGCAAGGAGGTGACACCCCTGTCTGTGCCAAGCACTCCTCGCACGTGTGTGATTGCCTCCTGCCCTGGGAGGTGGTCAAAACAAGGTCATGACTCCATGTGACAGTTAAGGCAACTGAGGCTCAGAGAGGTCAGGATGCTCAAGGTCCCACGGAGAGAGTGGTGGAGCTGGACCCTAACTCAGCGCACTTCTTTTCTTTTTCAGTAGTTTTTGGGAGGCTCCTGGATGCCCCCAGCTCTGCGGGGACTGGAGCCACCAAGGCCCAGGTCCTGCCCTGAAGGGCCCACACTTATGAAGGGTGAAGGGAAGCTAACTAACTGTTACCCAAACACAGTATGATGGTTAAGGACAGTAAGCTGGGGCCCCAGGAGAGGGGACCCCAGCCCTGCCTGAGGGGGATGTTGAAACCAGACCTAGCCCTTCATAGCCCGGAAGAGCTGAGGAGATTCTAGGGCTCCCCTACTGTCCCCACACGTGCAACTAGTGTTATAATAACAATAAAGGTACTATAAAATTATATTTTATATTTATTATTTATAAAATTGTTATAAAATTATAACACAGAAATTAGCAGATGAACAAAGATGCCACCTTTGAAGCTGTGTGAATGTGCGTGTACATGGGTGCATGCCCTGCTTTCCTGCCCTGAGCTTGCGGGCTGCTCTGTCTGCGGGCTGTGTCGCCCAGCCCTGTCAGGAACAATTGTGGGGTGGTCTTCCTGTCCCAGTGGGGACTACAGAGGGAGGCACTGGAGAGCTGGGAAGGGCATTCTAAGGAGGATAACTGGGTAGTGCGAGGGTCTGCAAGGGTGAGGCAGCCAGGCGGGGGGAGGGCTGTGGGAGGAGGCCACAACATCGACGAGGACCTAGACAGGCAGGCGCTGTGGGTCACCCTCACGGCTGGAGTTTGTCAAGAGGAGATGGTGTGCCACTGGAGACCTAAAGCAGACAGTGTGGCAGGGATACTGTCAGCGTCAGTGTCCAAAGCCAATCTCCTTTCCATCCCATTCTGCCCCAGCTCCTTTGTCCATTGGTAGTGACAGACACTGCTGAGTTAGGTGCAGAGAGTTTGAAGTAACTAAAGGAGAAGGAGCATATGCCCTGAATATGGGGCTGCTCCTCCGGTCCAGTCAGAGGCCAGAGTCTCCCTTGACATTTTCCTTGTACCCAGAAGTGGAGGCCTGAGCATAGACAGGGCAGAGAGCCCTGGGGAGACCACATGCTAGTGGGCTTTCTTTCTTTCCAATTGAAATGATATTATATAACATAGAAGTAACCATTTTGTTTTTTTCTTTTTTATTGAATGTATTGGGGTGACATTGGTTAATAAAATTATATAGGTTTCTGGTGTACAATTCTATAATACCGCATCTGGACAAAATTAACCATTTTATGAGAATATATCCTAAGTATCTTGAAACACCAATTCAAAAGAATATGTGTGCCCCTATGTTCCTAGCAGCATTGCTTACGATAGCCATGATCTGGAAACAGCCCAAATGGCCATCCGGAGATGGGTGGATAAAAAAGCTGTGGTACATTTGCACAATGGAATACTATGCAGCAGTAAAAAGGAAGGAACTCTGACCTTTTGTGACAGCATGGATGGGCCTAGAAACTATTGTGCTAAGTGAAATAAGCCATTCTGCAAAAAAAGACAAATACCATATGATCTCACTTATATGTGGAATCTAATGAACAAAATAAACTAATGAGAAAAATAGAATCAGAGGCATAAAAACAGAACAGTTTGTTGTAAGAGGAGGGGGGGGAGGTAGGGACTGGTTGTAAGAAGGTGAAGGATTAGCCAAATAACATGTATGTATGACCCATAGACATGGACAGCAGTGAGAGAGTTGGGGGAGTGTGTGGACTGGAATAAAAAAGAAAAAAAATGGGATAACTGTAATAACAAACAATAAAATATATTTTAAAAAAAGAAAATTAACCATTTTAAAGTGTACAATCCAGTGGTATTTTGTACACTCACAATGTTATACAACCACTACCTATATCTAGTTCCAAAACATTTTCATCTCCCCAAAAGAAACGCCTGTACTCACTAAGCAGTCACTCTCCATTGTTCCCTAATCCTCTCCCCAAATTGTTTTCATTTTGTTTCTATGGATCTACCTATTCTAGTCATTTCATGTAAAAGAAATTACACTGTGTGCCCTTTTGAGCCTGGATTCTTCCTTTCTTACTTTTTAAAAAATATTTGTCCTGGCTGGTGTGGCTCAGTGGGTTGAGTACTGGCCTGTGAACTGAGGGGTCACTGGTTCATTTCCGGGCAGGGCATAGTCAAGGCACATGCCTGGGTTGTGGGCAAGGTCCCCCGTTGGGAGAGTGTGAGAGGCAACCGATTGATGTATCCCTCACACATGGATGTTTCTCTCCCTTCCTCCCTCCCTTTCTGTCTCTGTAGAAATAAATAAATAGTCTTAAAAACAAATCCTGTCCTACCTAAAAAATTATTTTCATAAAATTTTTGGGTTTTCTGTGGGTTATTTTTTTAAAAAATCATCTGTCTTAAAGAAAAGAAGTACACTTTGTAAGTTGGTTCATTTATGAAAAATATATAGTCTCTCCCTCTTTAAGTGAAAGCATTATTTAAACTTTTATAGAGTGGGATTCTTTCACTTACAATATTTTTGAGGTTCATCCATGTCATAGCATGTATCAGTTCTTGGTTCCTTTTTGTAGCTGGTAATATTCTGTTGTACGTATATTCAAAATTTTGTTTATCCATTCATCTATTAATGAATATTTGAGTTGTTTCTACTTTTTGTTTAACTTTCTGAGTAACTGTCCAACTGTTTTCCATAGCAGCTGCACCATTTCACATTTTTACCAACAATGTATGAGAGTTTCAATTTCCTCAAATCCTCAACATCACTTGTTACACACATGTCTGTGTGTGTGTACACACACGTATATATATATACACATACATATGTTCATCTTAGTAGTTGTAAAATGATATCTCACTGTGGTTTTGATTTGCATTTCCTTAATGACTAATGATGTTAAACATCTTTTCATGTGTTTTTTAGCTATTTGTATTCCTTCTTTGTATGTCTATTCAAATCCTTTACCCATTTTAAAAATTAGACTTTTTATTGTTGAGTTATAAGAGCTCTCTATGTATTCTGGATACTAGACCCTTCTCAGATATATGTTTTGCAAATATTTTCTCCTGTACTGTTGGTTGTCTTCATTTTGTTGATAATGTCCTGTAATGCAAAAAGCTTTCTAATTTTGATGAGGTCCAATTTATCTATTTTTCTTTTGTTGCTTATGCTTTTGGTGTCATATCTTAGAATCCATTGCTAAATTCAAGGTCATGAAGATTTACCTGATATTTTCTTTTAAGAGTTTTATAGTTTTAGTTCTCATATTTTGGTTGTCGATCCATTTTTGAGTTCATTTTTTCTATACAGTATGAAGGGTCCAGTTTCATTCTTTTGCATGTGGATATCAAGTTTTCCTGACATCATTTGTTGAAGAGGTTATTTTTTTTCTCATCAAACAGTCTTGTCAGTCTGTTGAAAATCAGTTGACCATAGATGCGTGGGCTCATTTCTAGATTCTCAATTCTATCCCATTGATCTACATAAAATTCTATCCTATTGGTCTATTTTTATGCCAGCAGCACACTGTTTTGACTAGTGTGATAGTCAATTTTATGTCAGCTTGACTAGGCCATGGATAACCAGATGTCTGATTGAACATTATTTCTGAGTGTGTCTGTGAAATTATTTCTGGAAGGGACTAGCATTTGAACTGGTGGACAGAGTAAAGCAGACAGCCTTCTCCAATGTGGGTATTATCCAATATTCTGAGGGCCTAAATAGAGCAAAAAGGCAGAGTGAAGTTGGATTTGTCCTCTCTCTACTTATGAACTTGACCTGGGACTTTGGTCTTCTTGTCCTCCACACTCCTCAAGTCTCTGAACTTGTATTGGAATTTATATCATTGGCCCTCCTGCTCTAAGGTCTTCAAATAACACCACCAGCTTTTTTGGGTATCCAGCTTGCAGACAACAGTTCATGGGACTTCTTAGTCTCCATAACTGCATGAGCCAACACCCTATAATAAACCTCTTATGTGTGTCTCTTACTACTTCTCTGTCTGTTGAATGTTAATACATGTAGTTTTGTAGTAATTTTTAAAATCAAGATGTGTGAGTTGTCCAACTTTTTTCTTCTTTTTAAAATATTGTTTTAACTATCTAGGACCTCATATTTCCATATGAGTTAGGGAATAAGCTTTCCTGTTTCTGCAAAAAAGGTTGTTAGAATTTTAGTAGGGATTGCACTGAATTTATGGATTGCTTTGGGTAGCATCGCCATCTTAACAGCAATAAGTTTTGCAATCCATGAACACAGGATGTCTCATGGATTTCACTTAGTACTGTTTTTTGCTGTTCAATGTACAAGTCTTTCACTTTATTGGTTAAATTTATTCTTTGGTGTCTTACTATTTTGGATGCTGCTGTAAGTGGAATTGTTCTCCTTAATTTCCTTTTCAGAGTGTTGTTGCTGGTATATAGAATCACAACGGATTTTCTGTGTTGATCTTGTACAAAGGTGGTTGGGAAGAGCGGTGGATCATTACATCATTTGGCTCTTGCAGCCCTGGGGTCTTGATTTCCTCATTTGATAAATGGGGATAAAATATCAGCATAGTTTATCTCAATGGATTGTCTTCAGGGACAAAGAAAACTAGGTCTTGATTTTCAAATGTTTGTTCACTTGGGCTCTCAGA